CCTAACGCTTACCTTTATGTGAATCGGCTTGCTGGAATTTAATTTTTATTTAATTTTTTCGATCTTTTTCGTCGCGTTGTGATGACGTCACATACGCGATTTCATCGACCGTGCTTTTGTGGAACGCGGTTTTGACGGGTCACGGGTCTTCCAACTCTGTTATTCTGTTATTTTCTTCAGAATCAGACAAAGTTTGGAGATGAAGGAAAGGAAACATAAATGGTTGTCCAGAACAGTCAGAAAGATTACTTTCCAAAAGGACAGAGGTCAAATTTGGGGCATTCTATCACACATTCAAGCTTTAACAGGAAGATGAATCAACTCCTGTGATGTGATTTCAGGAGAAGTTTAAAAATCTCCTCAAGTTATTTTTCATGCTGAGGAATAGTAAGAAGTAAATATATTAGAGAGTCAACCCAAAATATTAAACTGCAATTTGATTTGGACAACGGACTCATTTGAATGCTAACATAAAAGTGCAGCCATAATACTCACTGTGAATTATCCTGCCTGCGCAACTAGACATGTCAGGACTGAAAAATAAAAAAGGACTAATAATGTTCTTGACAAGCAAAACTGAAAGAACAATGTGCATCTGAGTAGAGAAGAAAATGATTTAACTCTGTCCTGATAATCTAGTTGAGATAAAAGGAGAAAAGGGGAGAGTAAAAAAAAAATAAGTAGAAAACTGTTGGGCTGAATCTTTAATAATGTAAAAGGCTTCACTGTCTACTCACCTGTAAAACACAGTTATTTTACCAGATTTGAGAAATGAATGCATAAATCATCCAAGTTCAAACTATTGGTTTAAAAGCACTTTATTATCTTGTAGTCAGAATAAAGAAAATTACTCCAATGAGTAATAATAACAAATATTACAATACTTTATTTATAATGTTTTTGGCCTTTCAATGTACCTGTCCTTTCTCCATTTCTTAACAAAATAGGTTTCACTAACTAACAATTACCTTAAAAATTAGCATTTAAGTTTGCAAAAATAATATATATGTACATTTAGTTTCCTAACCAGATCTATGGATTTCTTATTTCTAAATAATTGTGCCCATTGCATTTATTACAGTCTTTTTGTTATATGTTGATATAAAATTATTCTATTACATGTAGATATTAACATAAATGTCATCATCTCTATATGTATTGTATTGAATGGCAACTATAGTTCTCATTTGATAATTTAGACTGAATAATTTACTGGGTATATCACTGTGAAAATGTTGCTGTATAAACTACTGTGAAAGTGCAATTATGTGTTGCATGTAGTGTCAATATGATAGGTTTTTACAACTTTGTCTACAAGAAAACAAAAATAGTATCCATTTGCCAAGGAAGAAGTTACATACAATGTTTGCCTACTATAGAACAATGCCCAATAAAACAATGCAAATGGTGTTATCCCAGCAGAAAGTCATTCCAAGTTCCAATTGCATTTTCAATGCAATTTCAGCCAGGAAGGAATTTATTCCAGTGTGTTAAATGTTGTTGCTTGCGTACATATAGTCTTCAACTTAGAACAATTGAACCCAAAATTTCTGTTGCTAAGTGAGACAATTGTTAAGTGAATGTTGCTCCATTTTACAATCTTTCTTGCTACAATTAATAAATCATTATAGTTGTTAAGTTAGTAACACGGTTATTACATAAATCTGGCTTCCACATTGATTTTGCTTGTCAGGTCAGAAAAGGTAATGACATGACTCAGGAACACTGCAACCATCATAAATATGAGCCAGTTGCCAGCCATCTGAATTTCGATTACATGACCAAGGGAAAGGGGCAAAGTTGTGAGAAGGTCATAAATCACTTTTTTCAGTGCCATTGTAACTTTGAACAGTCACTAAAGTAATTGTTGTAAGTTGAGGACTACCTGTATTTAAAATGTCATTTGCATTTCAATCTATCTTCATTCTGAAGCTCTTGAAAATGCAGATCTCACAGTTTAACCTAGCTTTTTGATTTAAGCATGCTTGCCTGATTAAAAGTCATGGTAAACTAATAAACTCTATAGACTTTGGATTTTGAAACAGGAAAAGAAGTCCTGCATTGCAGTACTATTGCTCAGGAGAAAATGATTCTAGAAGCAGGGCCTGCCCTACCATTAGGGATACGAACGATAAGCAGGACTGTTGTAGAAAGACAAGGAATCCTTCACTATTGAACACATCATTGTATTTTTACTGCTATGGATAGGAGTGCTTGAGGATTTTCTGCCTCAGAAATCAAAATAACTTGGCTAATTGTGGGAGTTTAACTCAAATGGCTGTAAAGGTGTTACATCACCTTTGCCTCAGCTTGCGGTGCGCCAGTGAGCTTATGGGGGCAAAGCAAGCTTTATCTAAAGAACAGAAAACCGGTAGGCAGAAAGCCAAGAGAGGAAACTGTGTTGATTTTTTTT